CCCTGGGCAGCGCATTTTTTAATACACTCCATTTGGCCTACCAATTCGGTGACGCCGTATAACTCGCGGATCGGCTGCTCCGCGGGATGTTTTCCTCATTCCCAAAATCAGCTATAATATTCGCCATTGCAAATTTGTATCGCAGGGCGCATGTATTTTTCTAAAAAGAAAAAAGCTCAAAATGACAGGTCAAATTGGAACAAAAAACCCGACGACGAAAAAATTTATCGTTGAACCGAGTTTTTCACAAGTTGGACAATAGCAAGTGAAAAATGCACACGGGCGCACGTGCAAGAGAACAAAAGTATATATCTATCTATATATCTCTCTGTATGAAAACCTTTTTGAAAACGGGTGTATATATATATATATATATATATATATATATATATATAGATAGATAGATAGATAGATAGATAGATAGATAGATAGATAGATACGTAGACTTGAACTAGGTCAAAACCATTTACTTGCTACTCAGAGTTTCATGCTTCATGAGAAGCAATCATGTCAACCCATTGAGGACCGGTCATTGACCACTTTTTAGTTGATGATCAATTTGAATTTCGTCATTTCATTATATATATTTATATAGTTTGTACAAAGGAGAATGGACTACATATGTTGATTTGAATCCTATATATATATATATATATATATATATATATATACCTTGTTTTTTTTTCAAAACCGGGCTACCAAAATATGTCAGTCTCTCGCACTAATTGGTAATTTAATGGCCCTTGTTACTTGAAAAGTAAAATCTCACCTCAAAACACTGGACGAAAAAACGGATTTGCTTAAGTTTGCTAGTTGAGCAAATTTGTTGTAAATTTAGAGTACTAATGTTGCTACTCATTTGTTCTTGGTGCAAATTTTGTTCAAAAGTGAAAGTTTACTTTTGTGCAAGGTTGGCGTAAATGTGGAGTAAATATCAAGTTTACACAGATTTTGTTTCACTTTTGCTCCTAATAGTAAAGTTGGTGTTTAGATTCAAATTTGCCGCTATTTTGTTCTCTATGTAAAAATCAAACGTCAAAAATGAATGTTTGCTTGATATTTGCTGACATAGCAAAGTTACTGTGTAAAATGTATGGTTACTACAGTTGTAAATTTAAGTAAAAAATGATCAAAGAATTATCTTCGCGACCACTTTAACCAACGTTTGCACATTGACCAAACTTGCAATTTCACGCAAGGTTTGCTTTACCATTGCCCTGTTTGCTCAATCACTATCAGTCTTCTCAAAGTTTATCAGTAATGTTATTTGCTGCAGCTTGTAAAAGATTTGTAACTGCAAATTTAACTCCCACGCGGCTATAGAGTTTGCTTTGTCAAAATTCCTGCACGCGTATTTCCGAGGCCGCAGCTGATTTCAGCGGTTTTCTCGAACGACGCTGACCAACTCGACGTCTCAACAGACTGAGCATCATTTTATCCACACTACACTGCGAAGAGAGCGACACCGGAGGAGTTTAAGTGGTACGTAATTTGTTCTCTGTAATCGTGAAAATTTTAAAAGGATATTTGTAAAAGAAATGAACGCGGTGGTAAGCTTTGATGAGCTTATAAAAACAAAAGCAGTTTTGAAGGATTCTATTTTGGCCACATGTGGCTCTAAACCCTTTCGTGTTTATTCTCGCATGTTGAAAGAATTGTCTGTTAAAAAATGAAGGGTTCCAAAGCCCAAAATTATCCTTTCATCCCGTGCCAACAAAGGATTTTTTGAGTTTTGACTTAAACTACAGAATTACGAAATATCTGGCCACTATGCAATATAGTCTCTTGCCGCCATATTGGAGAACGAAAAGCGCCTGGGAACGAGGTTGTTCTTTTAGAAAAGACTCCTACTCAGTTGTTGTTTCATGTGATTTGTTTCATTGGGGTTAAGTTGAGGCAATGCAGGTTGTCATGGGAAGGAGTGAAGTAAAAGTAGTTTCCCTATTTGCCCTAGCCCCTTCTAATGAGCTTCCACATGGCTCAGTGTCATCTCCTGCCCTGATTGCAATGTAGCCACTCAAACCAAATTGAATGTTTTATTTGTCAAACTTACTTCACTTTTCACAAACATGCGAACTCTAAAGCTGAAAAGCCACCTTCACAATTGTGTTTTTCGCTGCCGTCAGTCATAATTACAATCATAAGCAATGAACCTTGAAACTGAGAAACAAATAAAACGGATCGAAATCCTCCAATCACAAATCTCAAACCACGACCTTTTGAACCCATTAGAGTGAAGTTTTGTCTCCTAAGAGGTCCCGTTAAGATGATTGACCGAAGGGAAAAACGCAATCATCAGTTGGCTTTTGAACTTCAGATTTTGCATGTTTGTGAAAAGTGCAGTAGTAAATTGAACTTAATGGAACTTGATTTAACAATAAGGTTCAATTAAGATCACTAGTTGAACAAAATCAAACTCTCACAAGAAAATCTTAGTAATCAAACCCAACTGAACTTTGATTGAGTTCAATTAGGTTCAATGGTCAAAGTTGGGAAGTATTTGATTAAAAATGGGAAGTTATACATGAAAAATAGATATGTTTTACTGAATGATTCCTTTTTCTAGAGTGTTTTCCATCTAAGTGCATTTTGGAAAATTGGTTGTTGCAGATCAGCGTAGTGTACTTTTTTTGGAGCAAAAATGTTTACAAGAACACTAAAGATATAGTCAATCTATTGTTCGTCCCACCTGATTCTTTTTAGGTTATTTGCTGATTTCCTTGTGATTTCTTTGCTGCTTTCCAGACACTTTGCTTACTAAAAGGGCTCTTCAAACTCCAGGCCCTATCTATCTGAAGTGTTGGTTTAGAACGTTCGATAAGTTTGATTGGTTCAATTACTAGTTTGCTAATCAAACCCAAAAAATCGGTTGAGAGTTTGATTGAGTTTGACAAACTTTAATTACCAAACAGTTTGTGTGGTTACAGCCTCATGAAGTCTGCTTGTGTAATGCAATGCCCTTACTCATGTCAATGAACTGGCTGGGTTTTCTGTAGTTACTATGAGATAGTGCTGGCTTCTTCGATCGTTGTCATTGACGGAAGTTGTTACTTAATAGATGGGAAAGCACAAGAAAGAGAACAGAAAGAATTATTTGAAAAGACGTCGAAAGATGCTAAAGGAAAGGAAGGCACAAGAGGAGGACCCCACTTCCCACCTTCAAGAGGAGGAAAGTACTTTTAGTCCCGCAGAAAGTATTGTTGATGACCACCTTCAAGAGGAGGAAACCACTTCTACTCCAGCAGAAAGTGTTGTTGACAAGCCTAATCCTAAGAAAAGAAGAGGCAATGATGGTCATGCAACTTTTTGTGCTAATGCACAATACCGCACTCTTGGTGAATTACCACCTGAGTTGCAATTCAACCCCATGAAAGACAATCTGTATTTCTCCTTTGTTAAATTCTTTGAAAACAAGAGAAAGCTTCAGAAATTGATTCAAAATCCACTTGGTGATCACTGAACTGGTAAGTCTTACTAAAAAAGTAGTTCTGTTCTTACAGTGTTGTATGCTTAATTAGACCATATTAGCATGGTGGCGTTTAGAAGGCAAGTCGACTTGATTGAGGATTTTCATTACTCATTTCTCAGTTTTGGCTTGCCACAATTACATTTCTAGGTAATTTGGGGCTGGACAATGGCCAGGATTAATGGCCTGCTTAGAAAAATTTCCCTACTCAAAAAATCCTCCAATTGAAAATTTCAAACCTAATAAACCAGCTCCTTTGATCATCTTGATCTTCTGAAATCCCCTGGGATGGAGTGACTCATGAGACTAGTATCTTATTAGTACAAGTTGTCAAAAGGAAAGCAACATTTTTCAGCAACAATGTAAATGTTAGTGACAAAGGTAGCTGTAGGGCTGCATTTGTGCAGCAGTCTAGTGAATGTTTGAAATGTTCGCCTTTCTAAGGGACCAGTGATTTGTCAAAATTTTCATATCACTATGTCTTGGAAAACATCACTGTGTCACTCCTGTCTGACATTATTTTGGGTGAAAGCCTTCTAAATTTATTAACATAATTTAGAAAATGTTAGATTTGATTTTGTAGGGAGTGTCTTGATCATCAATCATGTGTACCACTGTTGTTGTAATTTTAAGTAGCCTATTCCAGGTGTTCAGTTTGTGGGGACGACGCAAAAAGATTTGAGCAGGAAAAAAAAAAACAATAACACCTTATTTTTTACTCTCTCTTCCTTCGTGCCACACTCCACTATCCAAACGCCTGGAACAGGCTAAAGTTTAAGTGATTTGCTAAGCATCCATTCTTTCAGTGTGGTGTAGTCAAGCAATGCTCCTGGAAGCAGTGTTAACAGACTACACTGATAATTTGCATTGGAATAGTTATGCATATGCAGTGTCAACACTAAAGTAACATAATGTAACACTGAAATTAGGAATTTATATGTTACTGTTTGCCATTGCATTTGCAAAGTATTATTATTAGTGCTGACAGTAGTACTTTGTAGCAAATGTGCCCTAATCATTTAATCTTCTTTATTTCAGGACTTAAGAACTGCTGTAAAAGACTGATGCACCAAATCCAATTATAATATTATTAAACTTTCTTTTCTGTTTTTAAAAAGGCAATGTTATTCTTAAAATAGATAATTATAGATTTAATAATTTTATCAATATTAATGAGGGCACTACTGAAAACCGCCATAGTGAGTTGGACACCCAACAATAATAACAATAATCCTGTCATTACTATTAACTACTATTATTAGATTTTTACTTATTACTAATGATGTTGTTATTGAGATCATTCTTTACTTATTGTTACTTTTAGTAAATAAAATTTAGAGATTTGAATTCTTATAAAAAATTATAAGTCCCTAGACCCTGCCAAGTCCACATTTTCAAGCTATTTTTTCCTACAATTGGCAGTGGCAGATTCAGACCTTTAGAACAGGGTGGGGGGGGGGGGGGGGGGGGGTCTTCTGTTCCTTGAAAAAGGGGGGGGGGGGATGGTACTAAAAAATTTTTTTTTTGGGGGGGCTAAAAAAAAGGCCCCCCCCCCCCGGCCCCCCCCCTGGAACCCCCCCGCGCTGGGGAGCCACTGAAAAAAATATTATAAAATATTTAAAAGCAGAGCATAGAAAATGAGGCGGTAACATTAAGATATCCATGGCGATGGGCCGTGACAAACGTAGCCGGAGAGGGGTGAAGCGGGAGCTGTGTCGGGGCGGGGGGGGGGGGGGGGACGGGCAGAGAGGTCATCTAGACCCTGAGATAAGGGGGGGAGGGCATGGTCCTAAAAATTTATCTTTTAGCTGAGGCTAAAAATAAGGCCCCCCGCCCCGGGCCCCTCCCCTGGATCCACCACTGCTTGGGATGCACTTGAAAAAAATATGTTAAATTATTTATACAGAATGGCAAGTAAAATAGATTTATTGTTCCATGTTTATTATTCAGTGTACAAGCAACTATGGTTCCTTACATTTTTTCAGATTACGCCCTACAGGTCTCTGGTCACTAGTATATACTATTATTGTATAACTGTACTTAATAATCTGGCAGGGATGCCATTTATTGCCTGATGTTATAGAGCCTGGGATTTTATCACACTTGGCTTGGAGTGTCTGTGAACTTGATTCTTGCCACTTTGATTACTTTTTTATCATCACACTCAATTTTTTTCTGCTAACAACTGGCCGTCAAAACTTTATTGCACCAACTAGAAACAGTTATCAAGACATTACTTGTCTTCTTAGGAAATAGTATACAACTATCCCCCGAATGGACGGTGAATAGTGGTGGGTATGTACCAAGATGCGAAGCATGGAGGTATATATCTAGCGCTGTTTACCGACCCTGAAGGGGGATAGTTATTTTAGTATTTACCAAATCAGTTGGATAAAACTGAAAAAAGTAACTTTTTGCAAATTAAAAACATCCCTTATATTAGTAGGAACTTTGTTTACAAGTTACAAACATTTCAGGGATTTTCTCCAGTGCATTTTACGATTTTGTTTTAACTTCAGCATGAAAATAATTTTCTACCTACCAGTGGACACCGACAAGCCAAAGTTCTTGATATATGTTTGTACGACTGCTTCATATATCGCACAAATTTTGTTCTCCGGAAATGTCTTGCAAAGGAGACCCAATCTTGGCTCCGGTAGCAAAACAGTGAATAGCCAATGATATTCCGGGTTACGGGAGCCAATCAAAACATGCAAAAAATGCTATTCACTGATTTGGTAAATACTAATAATAGATTGTTATACAAAATAAATGCATACATTAGAGTATCAGTTCTTGACCACTGTCAATAAAATATTGTCAAAAAAAGTACCTTCGACATTGTTCCCAGCCCTGCCCATACTAATCTGATTGCAATTCAGAACAATAACATCTCGAGTTAAACAAAATTGTTTGAAATTAGCCTGAGGTCTAATTGGTATCATCAATACTTCACCAATGTTCTTAATGGTCAACTTCTTTATACTTTTTTTTGGCCGAAACCGGCAGTTTGTGATCTGGTTAAGGACACTGTTTCACCCTCACAATCCTGCATACCTCTTGTCAAGTTAACTCTGAATCTCTCCATGTGGTGGTGGTTAGGGTGGCGCGGGGGCGCAGGTTTGCAGTACCTTATTAGTTTTGGCCAAAGTGGGTATCTGTTTCTTTTTTCAAGGTACAAAAAAGTGAAATCAATTCACTATTTTGCAGCTTGAACAGGGTGTCTTTTTGGATCCAAAGCTTTAAAGAGAGCGTGACTGTTGGTGATGCATGGTCCAGATGATAGGTACCAACAATAAATTATATTTAAGAAAAATCTAATTCCATGATGTTACTTTACAAAAAGACAATTTCTTGTGCAAAACGACAGGAAAAAAATCAGGGTTGTGACAGTATATGTAGCTCTCTTGTCTTACTGCGCTTTTCACAAACATGTGAAATCTAAAGTTCAAAAGCCAACTGACGATTGCGTTTTTCGCTGCTGTCAATCATCTTAATGGACCTCTTAGGAAACAAAACTTTACTTTAACGGGTTCAAAAGGTCAGGGTTTGTGATTTGTGATTGGTGGATTTCGATCCATCTTGTGTGTTTCTGTGTTTCAAGGTTCGTTGCTTGTGATCATAATAATAATGGACGGCAGCGAAAAACGCAATTGTGAAGGCGGCTTTTGAACTTTAGAGTTCACATGTTTGTGAAAAGCGCCGTAAACAGGATCAGAATTTGAAGGGCTCGAAGGCACACCTTCACTTAAACTCTCACTGACTCCGCCCCCCCTCCCCCCTCTCGGGAATCTTAATACATTAATCTTTGAAACATAACACTAACACTGAAGCTTGCGTGGAAGAGGGCAAACAACAAGAACATTTTCTCCTTCAACAATGTCAAGTGTTGGGATGAATTTCCCATGGATTCTTTGGACAGGGATGAAACTTGCATTACCTTCTGGTTCAAATAGATCTTTGCACCAGACTTCAACTGGAGCTCCTAAGGCATGTCTGGAGGGATGAGCTTGAAACCAGTGAACTGATGCCAATATACAAGACAGATACTGACCATTCACTATCACATTTTGCTTCATAAAAAAATCTACAACTCCAGGCCTCAAATCAGCCCCAGAACTGTCAATTGTACCCCCAAGTTTGCACCATCTTGCTGTGATAAAGGCCGACCTGTCACTTCTAGATTTGCTAGATCCCAGCTGGTCTCCATTGAATTTACAGGCAGCAAACCTCTCAAAGTATGGTGTAACAGAATCTTCATCTACACCATTAAAAATGGCACTATAACATTGTTTTAAATGACAAAGGTCACTAGCATCAAAACAATCTCTGGAAGAAGGTCCACAGCACATGAACAGGGACTCTGCACAGGACCACTGATCACCTCTTTGTACCGAGCCAATGGAGAGGCGACTTGCATGGATGACTTGTGAAAACGATTTGTCATCTTCATTTGAGGAGCCTTCTTGCAGAGTTCCTGACTGTTTACTAGTCAGTCTTAATAGTAATGGCTTAAATCTTTCTTGAAACAAATCTGGATGGGGAATGTCTTTCATAGACTGATTTGAAGTAAACTTCCTCATTAACTGTATCTCAACTGCTTGTTGATTTGTACCATACTCTCCCAAGATGCCGTTGTAACGCTCAAAACTGAACAACCAAAAAGCATATACAGGACCGTAATCCAAAACACAGTCTAAAAGATGTGTATGCAAATGCATATTTGGGGTGACTGTTTCTTTACCATACAATTCTTCAAAACGCTTGCCAAAGTTTAAGAGGTGTGTGTGAGCCAACATTGCTTTAGCCTCTGTTATAACAGATGCACATAAATATGAACAAGCCAAAACAAACTCACGCCACAGTTCTAAGTCATCCTTTGGCAAGATGTTCCATAATGAATATATGGAAAATATCACGGTGAATGTCTTCCATTGATCAGCAGTGAAACCTGCATAGTTGTTCCTAATTTTCTTAGGCATTCTTCCAACAGAGGCTGGCACTTTCACCTTGTCCAATTTCTCCTGTACCAGAAGCAAGTCGTTCTTGTCAAGTAATGGCTTGTCTGAGTCAAGCCAAATGTTCCTCATGACATGTTTTGCTGTTCCTGTAAAGAGGTTATGCATTGGATCAACTATGTGAAAACGGACACAGTCAAAGTACGGTAACTGCATCAGTTCGCTGTACCTAGTACCATACTTTTGCTCCAAGGAGGAACAGTCACCTGCAGAGGTCTGGTTCAGGATCTCTTGAGCTTGCTGCCGGTGTTCCTGATTACTTCTTAGAGGTGAAGGATCGAATCCAGAGAAATCAATTTTAGTAGCCACTGTGCCTGGAAAATGCTTTTTACACTTAGAACAGCCAACGTTTGATGCATGACCTGTAAAACCACAAACCTTTCTTGCTGCAGGGACATCGCAACCTACACACAGAAGTGCTGCACGAAATACCTGGGTTGAGGTCAGGCCATGTGCTTTAATACTTACACCATGTTCCCACAAGGCTCTCAACTCAGCAACAAGAGGCTGCAAGTAAGTATTAATGTTCAGTTTAGGTTCATGGGGCCCAGGAATGACACCAATCAAAAACACATTCTCTGGTTTGAACCTTTCAGTTCTTGGAAGGTTCATCAATGCCATGTATAGAGCCCCCACACTGTACAGAGAGTGTCGGAATGGCTGAAACCAGTCTACATTCAGCATAAAACCATAATTTCTAGGTGCTGCAAGGAAAGGTTTTCCAAAGGCATATTGCCATTCCTTCCAGATGCGACCATCAAATACATCAGCTAGATATCCAACTGGAATATCCCTGTTTCTCCATGATTCACACATAGAGGCAAAGCCAGGTCTTTGAAGAAAATACTTTAGATTTTCAGTGACACTATTGTAGCAGTACACTTTGAATGGGTAAAGTTTTGTTTCACCTGTCTTTAATGTTACCTCTTTCAGCAGGGGTTCCCTGCATGGAGTCCTGCGAAAATGCTGTCGGTGATGTGGGTACTGGACAAAAGTGCAATTTTTTGAGACTTTTGGTCTGTGAAGAGTTTCATAGCAATCATCAAAGTTATATAAACTGTGACACTTGGGGCACACAACATACTTTATGAACTTATCCCGATCAAGTCCAAGTTTTTTCCGAAGCAAATGGAGTGATTTTGGAAGTAACATACCAAACCTTTCCACTATTGGAAAAATGGTTCCCAAGGAATCAAAAACTGCACGTAAAAAAGCAAGGAGTGCTTCAAAGGCATTGTCAGAGAGTGAGCAAAAAGATGACCACAGGCATAGAAATATTAGCATCCAACGAACAATAGCTCTTGCACTTGCGATTATTCTTGAGGTTTCAGAGACATCCACCGTGGGCACATTACTTAGACCTTGAGGGAAGTCTTCATTGACATCTTCACCTGCGATGTTCCAAAATTCCATCAAAACATCTGGTCGCATCTTTTCATGGTACATAAAATCACTGGAATCTGAATCACTCCCTTTTAATAACAAATAATCCTCGACTTCAAGATTTTTAATGGGCACTCCAGTGGTATCTGATAAGTAATGAACAACAAAAAATAATATTTACTAATAATAATATTATTACAAAGTATTGGATGCACACTCAATTATGTATAGTCCTATCAGATCAGGGAAATCCAAGATTACAAAGTCCAATCATATCAGTCCACAAGCTACATGTAGCCTTTCAATAAGATATTAGTGAGGTGTTTTAAACCAAGTTACATATAATAATGTAACCTATAAATAAATCCATCCAGGGCGTTGTTGTTGGTTAAGATCTAGCACGGTTGCGTTTTAGTTTCCCCCGCATTTCAGTACCGAAAGACGAATACGATATGCAAAAAAAACAAAGATACATGATATTTTTTTTCAATTTTTCAAGCATTTCTGATTTCCTCCGTCAGTTCGCTTCTTGCTTCTAAAAAGTCTAAAAATATTTACTGTGGGAAAAATACTGTAATTATCCGCTGACCACCACGCTGGGTGACCGCTTTGCAAGTTGTCAGAACATCGTTTCTCGGGCCCAGACCTCGTCTCTTCCCCCCCCCCCCCCCCCCCCCCCCCCCCCCCCCCCCATCCTTCTCTTTCCTTCTTCTCTTTTCTTTTCTGTTTTCCTTCTTTTCTTTTTCTTCCTTGTTTATCTACTTTTACTTCTCTCTTCTTTTTCATTTGTTTATTTTAAATTTTTATAACTATTATATTCTCTATTATTCTTGTTCTTTTTTTGTTTTTTTCTTTTGTTGGTCTTCTTTTCTATCTCTTCTACCCCCCCCCCCCCCCCCGCCCGCTCCTGATTGTAACATTTCATTTTCTTGGCTTCTTTCGTTGAACGGTTTCAAACTTATTTTTCCATCGCGTGACAGTGAAAACACTTTGTCAACTTAGCCGTCAAGATGAGATTTTTATCTAGAATACACTTACCATGCGCTGATTGTGTGTGTTTGTCTGTAGTTTCACTGTGATAGATCTCGCCTTCTTCACCGTAATCCTCATCCATGGCCATCCCGCTGCACGCATCACGTAAATTACACCTTGTTTCGGCTTGTAAGAAGCTATCGTCCTCGTCAGAAGATTGGACTTTCTGCCACTCATCTTTTTCCTTGTCGAAATACAGTTCAAAATGGTCTCTATATGTCCTCACCGATACATTCTCTTCGCAATGAGGGCAAAATCGCCGCTTCTTTGGAGCCATGCTCACTTGACTACAGCTGTAGAATCTTTATGAGCCTTCGATGCAGCTACTCGGCGGTAAACCCGGCAAATTATGCAATCAATCGATCAATCATTATATAGCGTCACTTTGTCGTAGAGCACCAATGAAAGTCCAGTTGTTGCCTTGTTGGCTCATTCATTGGCTCAAACTGGAACTGTTGACAGGAGTGGGTTTACAGGCGGAGTATTTGAATTTGCATTGTCCTCAAGTCGTTCCTTTCTCTCGTGCGCTGATTTAGAATAAGCGTTTGGCTTCGTACGGAAATTTCTTCTTTTTCTTAGAGAGAAAATGGCTCGTGTTCCACCAAATCAGCCGAGCAAACATCGCACTAAGCCTTCGAGGCCGACTTCTTCCAGCAAGAAATCTGGGAAAAGTCCTGGTCGATTTTATTCGAATTCCGCGAAGCATTCAACGCCGCCGGCGCCAGAAAGCCCGCCAGAAAGCCATGATGATACAGAGCAGCACGAATCGACATCGTCGTGTTCCCCGTCTTTGTCCATTCTAAGCAGATCACAAAGCAGTTCCTCTACAAGTAGACCACAAAGCAATAATCCCTCTCCAAGCAGTGCCCGAAACAATTATTCCTCTCCAAGCAGTTCCTCTCCGAACAGTGCACAAGACAATTCCTCGCCGACTTCTATCTCCCCGCTGGTTCCAAGGGTTCCAGGAAACGATCGAAGCAGTGCTAATCGCCTTCTTGAACCCCTAAATCTGGCGTCTGCGCTAGTTGAGGTACCTAGCTCTCGTGAAGAAGATCTTATGACCAAGCTTGAAGCTTTATTTGAAAGCCAGAAAGAACTGTTTGAAAAACACGCGCAGCGGGTGACAGAGCAGCAGCAGAAAGGGCGGGAAAATCCTCCAAAAAACAAGCGTCTAACTAAGGAGCTATCGGTAAGTTTCAAGTCTAAATACCACCAGCATATATGTCTGTGTTTTCTGTCTCAGTTTTTGGGTATCTATTTTTATTTTTATGCATTCAGCAAACCATGTTATCTACTTGTTAATGGTTGCAATTTTTTGTATGAACCCTGCTAGACACTAAAACTATCTTTATGTAAAGGATAAGAAAAAGCAAATCATTCAACGCAAAAATTTGCTTAATGATATTCAGTGTAAGATAAACAAAACAAATGTCATTTGGTCAAAAGTTGTGCAAAAAGATATGGCCCTTTCTAGTCAAGAGAGAGCAAGTTAAAGTAAAATGTTTCCAAATACAACCTATAGATAGAGGTTTCTCCTTGCAAAGCATAGGGTTAGACAAAAAATAGTGAGAAAATATAAATATTCACTTCCCTGTACGGTTTTCTTTTATTTCAGGCCAATGTGAGAGAGGTCTATTCAAGCTTGACTGGGGCAGATGGAAAAGAGCTCACGTGGGATTTTTCTCAGAGGTTAATTTTTTTAGTAAATGCCTTTTTACCTCAGTTAAAACTAAAATGTCTGGTACACTAACATCTAGATTGTTGTGGTTCTACAGGTTTATTTTACCATTTGTTTGTTTGCAGTTTTCTTCAGTGATGGTTACTATAGTCGCGAGGTCTAAATTTGGGATTTTGTTTTGTGAGCTTTTGCTTAACTTTGCAGGCCATCATTTTTTTACACCAATATAATTCGGTGATGTGAACTTTGCAAGTCGATAATTCAGCGGGGTTTCTGTCTTCATAAATTTTACTGTCAAAACTCTTTGGTTCAGTGATATTGTGAGATCTTAATTTTGATTCATTTTGCGAGTGACGGCATTTGCCAGATCTTGAAGCACAAGTGTCATTCTGAGTGACCATCATATTATTGTTCCACTTTTAAATGACAAGTGATTCTTCTTTCATAAATTTCACTATCCAGACTCTTATGGTTTATACATATGGTACAGTGATATTGTGAGATCTTAATTTTGATTCATTTTGCGAGTGACGGCACTTGCCAGATCTTGAAGCACAAGTGTCATTCTGAGTGACCACTGTATTATTGTTCCACATTTTAAGTGACAATTCCAAACCTCATTATTTATACTTGTTGTACTGCTCAATGATGTTGCAGGGTCTTTTTTAGTTCTTTTTGAGAGTAAAGGCTTTTGGTATATCATGCCAAGTAACCACAATTAAATGTCTGTTCTTCTAAGCAACATGTGGGTTGTCTTTTAATTAAATTTTCTCAGGTTCTGACTGGTTTCACAGTTTACGTGTAATTTGGTCAGGGCTGTGCCTTATTAAAGCCTGGTGACCTGTGGCACCCTGCTCTTAAACTGTAAATGACAAGATAAATTTATTTCACTTTTATTTACAGAGACAATTAGAGCGGTCACCAAGAGCGTTACATGTAAAAACATGCGATATCATTGTAGTATAAAATGACAATTATTAAGTTAGCCATTATTCAACTCAGACAATTTCTTTTATCTTATTTTTTTAGCTTCTCTGATCCCATTAACAAAACTGTTAATGCTGCTATTGTGGATGGTGTTCGTAGCACTGACAGCACAACCCATATTCACACTATAAAGGGTACGTAATCGAGAAATTAATTTATCTACTTAACAGTACTTAAACTTGACTTAATTCCTCTTCTTACTGAGTGTTAACAGTTTCACATCATGCCACATTTTTCAAGTGTTTTTGCTGTGCATCCATTCTTGCAGTGTGGTGTTGTCATACAGTGTTCCTGTTTGTTTGTTTAGACCAACAGTTTTAGCTGACTTACAGTTATTGTCCCCCATTAACTAACAAAACAGTATTTTCAGTAAGATGTCTGGGCATGGTAAAGGCGTTTCCTTTTCTTCCTCTCTCCATCATACTTTTTTGCTTACCCTCACTCATATCCTGTGCTTGATGTGCTTCTTGGCTAATATGTATACAGATATGACGATATGACTTTAATGCCAAAACAAGCCAATGTGAAAGAGTTTTGAGGCTCAAAATAAATGCAACATAGTGTTGATCGTGTGAGTTAATTTTTTTAACTAATTATTTATAAACATTAAGTTATTATGTATTGTCTTTTATCCCTTTAGCTGCAATGCGTGTTCATTTTCGCACCAAAAAACGGCAGCAAAAGATCATCGACAGCAACAAGAAGGCACATGTTATGAAGGGACAACGAAAGAGAAGCAGAAAAAACATGGCAAGTATATTTTGTTAAAAGGCAAATAAATTACTATGCTCTTTTCTATAATCTCTTGTGGAACAAGAAAGGAATAGTGTGCTTCATACTTTAACAAATGCAGAATCGACTGAGAGGCATTTCTGGTTTCTATATACTTCATAAAAAAGCTAGTAGGAATAATATACAGGAAGAATGCTTTTAGCATTGCATCATTGTTCTGTAACTCAGTCATGTTTATGCTCAGTATGAGTAGTACATGTATTTTTATTAACTTTGGGTTACTTGTTGGCTACTGGCTAAGTCTTGCTCTTCATTTTTCTTTCAGAAAAAAAATAAAAGGGCCAAAGCTCTGAAGGACTCTACCAGTATCAGCCAGTCAGACAAGGACAAGTACAGTACATGTATGTCTGTTGAGTATATGTCCTCAGAGGAGTCCTTGTCTGAACCCGAATCAGTAAGACATGGCCGCGAGTCTTCAGGTTCAGATGAGGACGCCCCAAACAGGAAGAGACTCTGTGTGAGACCACTTCTTTGGCGAAGCACAGAGGTGAATGGTTTAATGGCTCGGTTGGACCGAAAAGTAACGCGACGCCAAAGCCAACGGAGCGCTAATATGGTAATAGAACGTACGGTGGGGCCAGCATCAAACCGAGAAGCACCAGATGATGCTCCCGAGTTTGCTCTGGCACCCACCACTTAGAAAAAGGAACTAAATCATAAGTATAAGACAGATAATTTTGCTTTTAAGCTGAATTCTAAGCATTTCGGCCCTATAGGAAAGTCTGCATGAAAAAAAAAACAACAAAAAAGAAATGTTATTTGAAGAACATTCAGAAATGAAGACATTTTAGATATTTACAAAATAGAGAGTTTAGATCCAAGTATACCGCGAACCTCTAACTGCTGGAGGTCACGTGACAAGTCTTTTGCGTCATGTTTGAGGAGATAGTAACGTAATGATACAAAAATCTTGTGGAATAAGTCTTTGACCGTTAACAGAGGCATAAATTCAAGTGAAATGCTAAATTTGATAAATGCTATTAGATCTTGAAAACAAGTGCCATTTCAGGCTGCTGATTCAAAATGGCGGCCGTAAAATTGCAGGAAGAACTAATGTAAGAATTTACAGCTCTTTACTGCTAGATAACCCAGTGTTCCCGTAAATTTTTTGTTATTTTCTCTGATTGATTTTTCTTCTATTTCTAAATGGAAAAATAAACCAAACGGGTAACTGCAAACTGCGATTAGAGGTTCATGGTAAACTGGGATCTAAAACTCTCTAATAACGATAACACAAGATAAAGTTGACATGCATTATGATTTGGTTCCTTGTTAGTACAGTTTCTCTAATCATGTTACTCAATAGACATTCCACAATTTTTTTAGTTTTGATAAAGGAATAAGTGAACATCCTTTGAAACTCAAGGGAGGAGCCACATTAAAACTAGATAAATTACCAAGTTTAAAAGTGATTTGTCACAATCCAATGAAGACATTGCCTGCATCGCAGACACTCTAAACCTTCTGTATAGTGTCTGCAAATTAGTGCACAATAATGTGTTCGAATCCCTGAGTCGCAAAGATGTGGGCATTTTTGATTGGCTTGTTTCTTATGCATTTTGTGATTAATCCAATATGAAGTAAAGTGTTAACAGGCCTAACATGACTCCAGTGAATGAGCTCATGATAGCGTGAAACGTGACCTTAGAGCCAGCTTAAACAACAGAGGCAAATTTACAAACCATTAAATTTGGCTTGAAGAAATTCCCTCAAAGCATTTTTTTTATGTTCAGATGAAGGCTTTCGAGTTCAAACTACTCTGTCATTGTTTACTGCAAACTCTCCTTGCTAACTCCCTTCTGTGAATTTTGACATGTCACTGCGCTCAACCGTCAAGCAAAGATAAGAATTGGGCCAATCGTGAGGAGTATAAAAAACCGGTCTATCAGAAATGCTCACATATATTCTTGTGACACTGCTCGATATCAGACAAGCTTCTGTGCACTAATTCTCAGACGTACTATAAAAATGGTCTAGATGATGAGTGGGCTGCTGCAATCTCAATGACCTTTGTATGGTACATTGGAGCCACAAACTTGACCCTACAATACAAATATCTGCAAAATTTGGCATCTTTGCAGAGCTGTTTTTGTTAGGTTGTACCAAATCACTCTTCAACTTGGCAACTTTACTGAATTTTTAAGCCATTCTTCCTAGTAGCCTGTAAATACAGCTGTATTTTCAGTCGTTGTGTCTATTCACCCAACATACTTGGAGATACATCTCGGTGACTGTCCACAGGCTATCGATAATGATTGCCTTTTTCTTCACTAAACTAGAAAAAAAGGCAATCACTATTACATCCAAACACGGCACAAGGATCTTTTTCCTCATTACAATTTTATTCTAAGAAAACTTTAAGAAAAGATGTCCCGAAAAGCACTGAAAAATACAAACGAAATGTGCTCATGCCCCCTGGGCACCCTATAATAGTCCTTAAATTGAGTTTATTTAATATGGCCGTCGTATCAGTAAAAAGGTCTATTGTGTTTAGGTTTTGTTTGCAACACCAATATCAACCCCCTACTGCAAGCAAAAACAGCTGACCATGTAAATCATACAACATTTGCTCCAATTTTTAGCAAATAATTTGATGATAGAAACAAATATAAGAAATTATTTATGCTCATATAATAATAAATTAATACTGTACACGTAGGTATATAATCAAATTGCAGATTTGCTTCCACAACTTGAAAAGCTTTTGACTACCTATAGGATGATAGTAAAATTGGGGGTCGTTTCATGCTAGTTTTATAAGTTTAGCAGGAAATAAAGCCCCTATATGTATATGCTAAAAAGGTGACAAAATTGACCTTATAATGTTATTGTTTTTATTTAATTATTACTACTGGGTAAAAAGATTTATTGAAGTTGTACCCAAATCATAGAAATGCACAGAGCTCTGGAAAAGTGACACATTTTAGTTAAAAAATATTTTGAAATAATTGGTTTGGTTAAAAAAGAATCATACAATGTATCTCCCTTTAGGGTCAATGACTAGCACCAGATACACTATATTATATGGCAAGATGCAAATATATGTTCACTGCCTATTTTGGGTGGTGGATAATATTCAACAGATGAACATAAGTACTTACAAATAATTATTTTAATTATATAAATAATATATATAAAAAATCAATTATATTCTTTATTATTTGAGGAATATCACTTAACATGATAATATTTGAAGCTAGTTTTCATTTTAATACTTTTTATTGTATATTAAAGCTAATAAAGTCATTTTATTCTTGAATTTTTGTTGTTGTCTAAATTGTTTGTCAGTTATTACTTTATGGTACGAAATAAGAAACATGTGGATAATGATCTTTTGATCAACTTTGTTTACCTGAGCAAAAGTAGGGAAAACTCCTTTTTGGCAATATTTGCCACACTGAGTAAAGATATGGAAAAACTGATATTTGACCCAACTTTGCTACAAAGAAGAAAAGTATGCAAAACTACTATTTTGACCATATTTGCAATCCTGAGCAAAATTGAGAATAAAGTGGTATTTGAACAAATTTGCTACCCTGAGCAAAACAGTGGAAAACGACAATTTTGATCATATTTGCCACACTGAGCAAAAGTACGGGAAAAGTGATATTTGACCAACTTTGCTACTATGAGGAAAAGTATGGAAAACTACTATTCTGATCATATTTGCCACCTTGGCAAAATTGAGGATAAAGTGGTATTTGGCCAAAATTGCTACACTGGGCAAAACATAAATAAAATGATTTTTTGCTCAGATTTACTACCCTGGGCAAAACTTTTGAAAAATGAGTTTTGGTCACATTTACTACAGTGAGCAAAAATGTGTGAAATTATTCCTTTGATCGAATTTGCTACAGAGAGCAAACGCATTCAAAAATTCGTCTTCGACCGGTTTTGCCCATTTGAGCAAAAGCCTGACAAATTTCAGTTTCAACATCAAGTTTGTTACCCCTGTAAATGCCTTGAAAAAGTAAAAGTTATCCTTGTTTTTACACATGCGGCAAATTTGAGGCAAATTCGGCATTTACCACCTTTGCCATCAATGCAAAATTATGGCAAATTTGATACTACGCCATTTGGCAAAATTGAGCAAAATTGAGCAAATGTGGCATTTGCCGATGGTTTGCTCCAAATTTTCTATACGGGTAAATCCGTTTTTTCGTCCAGTGAAAAGAAGTTATTGAATACATGAGCTTCAATTTCATAGGATCGTCTGTCTTGAAGGTAACAAAAGTGAAGTTTTGCTCATTAATCTGGAAAATAAGGCATTTTAAGGGGCAATTTTTAGTGTCCGTGTCACCGATTGCAAAATTGACCCACTTGCCTATGTTAATCCTGTTGACGGAGTATTTTCTTTTCAACTGATTAATGTTCAAAAAGTAATCAAATTACTTAAGGCTGTCGATGTATGTAAGGCACCTGGGCTTGACAAAATTCCAAACAGGCTTCTGAAGATTGCTGCCGATGTTGTCGTGCCCTCTTTAACGAGCATCTTTAATCAATCGTTAGTGACTGGTATTTTCCCCTCTGACTGGAAAATGGCTAAAGTGTCACCAATTTTTAAGAATGGTTCTAAGTCTGTCCTAAACAGTTATCGGCCTATATCTGTTATTCCTACTGTAGCCAACAAAATCTTCGAAAAAATTATCTATGACCGGCTATACCAATATCTGAATGAAAATGGTTTATTAAACAGTGGCCAGTCTGATTTCCGCTCGCTACACAGCACTCTTACTGCCTTGTTGGAGACAAAGGATAACTGGTGTATCAATATTGATAGAGGTCTTCTTAATGGTGTAATCTCTATTGATTTGAAGAAGGCCTTTGACACTATTGACCACGAGATAATTCTAAAAAAACTTACTAAGTATGGCGTTGATCAAAACGCCCTGAAATGGTTTAAATCTTACCTAACTAACCGTATGTAAAGGTGTAACGTAAACAATCATCTATCTAGCGCGAGCCCTCTAAATTGTGGCGTACCTCAAGGGTCAGTAATTGGTCCTCTTCTTTTCTTAATCTATATAAATGATCTACCAAATTGTTTGAATGTGGGCTCTCCTAGAATGCATGCCGACGACACTAATGTTACCTTTTCAGCAGCTACTATCCCTGATCTTGAGTGGCAATTCAATAGTGACCTGAAATATAGTGATCGCTGGCTCAAAGCTAATAAGTTAAGTCTCAATGTCGCCAAAACAGAGTTTATGGTTATAAGCTCAAGGCAGAAACTACAGTCCTTAAATGACTACACAATGAATATTCATATAGACGGCGCCCCAATAAACCAAAACAATCAATGCAAATCTCTCGGGCTTATCATTGATAAAAATCTCTCGTGGAAGGCCCTCATTCATGAAATCTCTAAGGAAGTATCCTCTGGTATAGGCGCTCTTAAGCGGGTCAGGCCATTTGTTTCAATGCACACTGCAATTAAAATATAAAAAGGTCTTATCGAGCCACACTTTGATTATTGCAGCGCTGTATGGAATGGCTTGACCCAACAGCTTAGTGAGAAACTTCGAAAATCGTGCTATCAGAGTTATCACCAATTCTAGCTATGATACTAGTTCAAGATTTCTTCTTAACTCGCTTGGGTGGGATAATTTATCGGTTAGAAGGGCTAAACAAAAGGTTAAT